TGGACGGGAGCTCCTTCTGTCTAGAGATTGTCTGTTCTCCCCTGTCCAAGCTCTCCAGCTCCATCCCTCCTCCCAGAAACATGTGGACTAGCCTGGTCTCTGTACATCGTCCCTGTGTGCGTGTGCGTGCGTGTGTGACAGTGTGAGAGCGTGTGTGTATATGAGTGTGAGAGTAAATGTAAATGTTTGTGACAGTGAGAGCGGGTGTGTAAATGAGTGTGAGAGGCTGTGGATATAAGTGTGTGCATATGATTGTACGTGTGTGTGACAGTGTGATGGTGTGCATATAAGTGTGTAAATGAGTGTAAGTGTTTGAGGCTGTGAATGTAAGTGTGTGTGAGTGTGTCTGTGCTCTGTCTTCCCTGATCCCAGTGTGTGAGTGCGCAACTGTGTGAGTGTAAGAGTGTGTATATTGCAGCGTGATTGTATCTGTGTATAAGTGTGTGAATGTGCGTGAAGCATGAGAGTGTGTGAGTATGAGTGTGTGTGTAAGTGACTGTGAGTGTCTGAGTGTGTGTGTAAGTGTGATTGTGGGTGAGAGCTTGAGTGTGAGTGTGTGAGTGTGTGAGACAGCATGATTGTATATGTGAATTTGTGTGTGACAGTGTGAGAGGGTGTGTGTGAGGAGACCCCTCACTGTGTCTGGGAGCTGGCTCCTCTGCCCAGTGACGACAGCAGACCCCTGGGAGCTGGGGGGCTCCGAGCTCGGGTCCCGACTCTGAGGGCTGGATGTAGCAGCCGCGGCTCTGTCTGCAGGTTCATGGAGTTCGAGCAGGAGGAGCTGAAGAGGGGCAAGGTCACCCAGAGGTCGAGCAACACACAAGCAGCCCCGCCCAGCAAGACCAGCAGCAACGGTCAGTACAGGTCTGGAGCTCAGGACACAAGAGGGCTGTCAGGAGATAACTCAGGATATACAGGCTGGAGAGGCAAAGTGTTGCTCACTGTAGACATCTCAGTGCAGTGTTAATGTACTGGAGTGTCCAGTCAGTCAGTGTGTCTGTATGAACCCCTCTCTCTCAGTGCAGTGTTAATGTACTGGAGTGTCCAGTC